TCCATGGGAGGACCTATTACTGGGTGTCCCATGGAGCCTTCTCTCTATGTACCTTCCATGGGAGGACCTATTACTGGGTGCCCCATGGAGCCTGCTCTCTATGTACCTTCCATGGGAGGACATGTTACTGGGTGCCCCATGGAGCCTGCTCTCTATGTACATTCCAGGGGAGGACCTATTACTGGGTGCCCCATGGAGCCTGCTCTCTATGAACCTTCCATGGGAGGACAAGTTACTGGGTGCCCCATGGGGCTATCTCCTATTACAGCTTCCATGAGAGGACATATTACTAGGAGTTGCCCCATAGACCTTCTTTCTATGTACCCTTCCATGGGGAGGACATGTTACTAGGTGCCCCATGGGAGGCTGCTCTCTATGTGCACATTCAGGAGGACCCTGTGCCCCAGTTCCCCATGGAGCCTGCTCTCTGTGCATGCACGGGAGGGACCTGTTACTGTTTTTATGGGGCTGCTCACTCTGTACCTTCCACACTTGGGAGGACATATTACTGGGTGCCCATGGGCCTGCTTTCTCTATGTACCTTCAGGGGAGGACCTATTACTGGAGATTGTCCCATGGGGCCTGCCTCTCCTATGTACCTTCCGGGGAGGGCATGTTTACTGGGTGCCCATGGAGCCTGCTCTCCATGTGTACCTTCCAGGGGAGGACCTATTACTGGGTGTCCCATGGAGCCTGCTCTCTATGTACCTTCCAGGGGAGGGCATGTTACTGGGTGCCCCATGGAGCCTGCTCTCCATGTACCTTCCATGGGAGGACATGTTACTGGGTGCCCCATGGAGCCTGCTCTCTATGTACCTTCCAGGGGAGGGCATGTTACTGGGTGCCACATGGAGCCTGCTCTCTATGTACCTTCCATGGGAGGACATGTTACTGGGTGCCACATGGAGCCTGCTCTCTATGTACCTTCCAGGGGAGGACATGTTACTGGGTGCCCCATGGAGCCTGCTCTCTATGTACCTTCCATGGGAGGTCATGTTACTGGGTGCCCCATGGAGCCTGCTCTCTATGTACCTTCCATGGGAGGACATGTTACTGGGTGCCCCATGGAGCCTGCTCTCTATGTACCTTCCATGAGAGGACATGTTACTGGGTGCCCCATGGAGCCTGCTCTCTATGTAACTTCCATGGGAGGACCTATTACTGGGTGTCCCATGGAGCCTTCTCTCTATGTACCTTCCATGGGAGGACCTATTACTGGGTGCCCCATGGAGCCTGCTCTCTATGTACCTTCCATGGGAGGACATGTTACTGGGTGCCCCATGGAGCCTGCTCTCTATGTACATTCCAGGGGAGGACCTATTACTGGGTGCCCCATGGAGCCTGCTCTCTATGAACCTTCCATGGGAGGACAAGTTACTGGGTGCCCCATGGAGCCTGCTCTCTATGTACCTTCCATGGGAGGACATATTACTGGGTGCCCCATGGAGCCTGCTTTCTATGTACCTTCCATGGGAGGACATGTTACTGGGTGCCCCATGGAGCCTGCTCTCTATGTACCTTCCAGGGGAGGGCATGTTACTGGGTGCCCCATGGAGCCTGCTCTCTATGTACCTTCCATGGGAGGACATGTTACTGGGTGCCCCATGGAGCCTGCTCTCTATGTACCTTCCATGGGAGGACATGTTACTGGGTGCCCCATGGAGCCTGCTCTCTATGTACCTTCCAGGGGAGGACCTATTACTGGGTGCCCCATGGAGCCTGCTCTCTATGTACCTTCCAGGGGAGGGCATGTTACTGGGTGCCCCATGGAGCCTGCTCTCTATGTACCTTCCATGGGAGGACATGTTACTGGGTGCCCCATGGAGCCTGCTCTCTATGTACCTTCCATGGGGAGGGCATGTTACTGGGTGCCCCATGGAGCCTGCTCTCTATGTACCTTCCATGGGAGGACATGTTACTGGGTGCCCCATGGAGCCTGCTCTCTATGTACCTTCCAGGGGAGGACATGTTACTGGGTGCCCCATGGAGCCTGCTCTCTATGTACCTTCCATGGGAGGACATGTTACTGGGTGCCCCATGGAGCCTGCTCTCACTCTGTACCTTCCATGAGGAGGACATGTTACTGGGTGCCCCATGGAGCCTGCTCTCTATGTACCTTCCAGGAGGACATGTTACTGGGTGCCCCATGGAGCCCCCATGCAGCCTGCTCTCTATGTACCTTCCAGGGGAGGGCATGTTACTGGGTGCCCCATGGAGCCTGCTCTCTATGTACCTTCCATGGGAGGGCATGTTACTGGGTGCCCCATGGAGCCTGCTCTCTATGTACCTTCCATGGGAGGGCATGTTACTGGGTGCCCCATGGAGCCTGCTCTCTATGTACCTTCCATGAGAGGACATGTTACTGGGTGCCCCATGGAGCCTGCTCTCTATGTACCTTCCAGGGGAGGGCATGTTACTGGGTGCCCCATGGAGCCTGCTCTCTATGTACCTTCCAGGGGAGGGCATGTTACTGGGTGCCCCATGCAGCCTGCTCTCTATGTACCTTCCAGGGGAGGACATGTTACTGGAGCCTGCTCTCTATGTACCTTCCAGGGGAGGGCATGTTACTGGGTGCCCCATGGAGCCTGCTCTCTATGTACCTTCCATGAGAGGACATATTAGTGGAGCCTTACCTGGGAGAAGCCATGGTCCCAGCACAGGATACAATGTGTAACAATAGGCTCTATAGAACCCGCTTCCTTCCCAGCCGCTGGCACAGTGCAGGTGACATCATAGGATACAATGTAACGCTGTGCCTGCGCGTGGGGACTGCTGATAACGCACGGGGAATGCCGGGAAGTGTAGTCTCTGCAGTGGAGCCAGTGCCTGCGCTGCGCGAGCTCGCGAACTACATCTCCCAGAGCAGCGAGCGTGTTATCTGTTTTCTCTTATCTACAGGAGGCGAACAGTGCGGCCAGCGGACAATAGGGGGCGAGAACAAGCCCAGCTGCTTGCCCAGGACTGTCCCCTCGGTGGCCATTGCCTTCAGAGGAGGGCTCCTAAAAAGGGGACTCCAAAAACCACAGCAGGGATAACTACCTAAAAAAATGTGCGAATTGTCTAGAATTATGAGGGGCTTACTTACTAAACATCGAAACGTGGCGAGTTGTAATTCAAATAAGTAAAATGGAGGGTAAAATATCCAGGTGGGACAATGGCTGACTTTCTCCATCACAATTCGGAGTTTGGTGAATAAGCCTCACAGTGTATCTCAGATTTTAGGGAGAATATTGAAAAATATACAAACAGCTCGGAAAAATATTCAAATTCAACTAACTCTGGGTAAAATATTTTATTATTCCCTTTAACAGGGGAATTCAAAGAGAATTTCAATAACCTGTAAATTCACAAAATAATGACTAACTTTGAAACTGCTAACCACATTTCTTTCCATTGAGCGTTCATTGATTGTATTAAAGCTGTTGTTGTCAGGAAACATTTAAAGTGAATTTTTTTTAGCAGAATGGTTTTTTTTAAACAAATTTCCAAGCAATATTCATTAAGTTACAACGTTTCTATTAAACCCATTCTTTGTACAGATTATCACTGCGCTCCAATGGGTTCAGAACAAAAAGTACACTTTGGCAAGGTTTTAATAAACAAATATGTGGATAAGTCACTCTTAACATAATTATACTTATGCAACAACAACCTTTGTATTTATAGTTATCTAGTTTACATTAGTTTTATTGCCATTTATATAGTCTCAACCTATTCCGCTCACTTTACACATTTTTTTTAAAGGAGAGGATTTACAATAATTGATAGGAAAAATAGGTTTATGAAGAGCCTGCTCGAATGAACTTACAATTTACAAAAAAAACAACTCATGTTCTTAGCTGATTTGTTTTGCCCTGGAAGTCAGATTGGGTCCACATAATCTTGTAAATCCTTACGATCAACATATTTCTTGCAATCCAAACAAATCACATAACCCCTCCATTCTAATTTTTCTTTTTTAAATCAACGTGACTGCATTGTTAATTTTGTTTACATTCAGTGGTATCTAAATCAGAAATTGTGCAACTGTTCACTTACCTTTTCTAAACAAAGATCTGTTAATCTTAGTCGTCATTTTATGGCCACTGGCCCACCACATTTATTCAGCTTTTGCCAATGAGGAAAAATAATAGAGTAATTAATGGAGACCATTATTAAGAAGAAAATACTAATTTATAAAGTTAAAGCCAGAATAGAAAAAAAACTCCCTATTAATTCTAACATTTTGACAATTTCAGCCTATAAGTTTCACAATTTAGTCTAATAACAAATGCATCATTTTGAGATCTTTCAATCTGTTCACATATTGTTTATATTATTTTATAAAGTGCCAACAAATTTCGCAGCGCTGTACAATGGGTACAAATAATAAGGAAATGTATGACACTCTAATCTTGTGCATTGCATCATCTTCAGAGAAATCAGCTGTCAGTGGGATCAAGATTATCACTACACAATAATGTTTTTTTAAATGACCGTGAAATGTAAAATGAACCTCACACACTAATTCAGTGCTTTTTTGTCCTTTACAGGGGTAGGTGTTTCTCCTCTGGACCCCCCTCAACCTGCTCGCAGTCCTGCTTCCAGAAACAGGGCAAAATCTCCACCGTGACGTCGACACACTGGCTGCATTGGGACTTGCTTGAGTCTGAACAGAGTGATGTCAGTCCTGTGTTCCTAACGCTAATGGCGTGCTACAATTGGAGAGCAGAAGGACCGCCTGCGCCTGTGGGAAGTCTCCTGCTCCCCATGTCACTCAATTTTTCGGAAGAATTGATTGACAGGTGGGTGGAAGAACTCTTTTCAAATAGATTTTTCTCACAATCTATACATTTGCCAGCACAATGCAGAGATATAATATTTATCTCTTTAAAAGAGTATACGTTCAAAATACCATGACAGGTAACCTTTCAAATTTAAGGCCAAAGTAGTTGAGCTGAAAGTGTAGACGGATAATAGATATTTTCCATTTGTGTTATTTTTTCTGAAAGTATGAAATTCCCAATTCATTTCCTGACAATAATTAATGGTTAGTCTATGCACCGGATTATGATAGGATACTTAACTAAGAAACTGTATGTCTGCTACAGTCGTAGCAGATGGTTCGTCCGAAATAAAATGGCTTTTAATTCAAACCAATTGTCCAGGATATACCTGCGGAGTCTTTGTTCCAGAGGCTCCTGGTTTGACAGCTGACAGTAACCATTGAGAGTCATATTTTTGCTTGTAGCTGCTATCTCATTTTCTAGCCTATCGATTGCTGCAATTTACTCCTTTATACTCCTTTTGTGAGTGAATTAAAGGAACATTATAGGGTAAGGAACACCTTACCCTATAATGTATTAAAATGTATTAAAATCACCATCTAGCCCCCCTGACTCCCTCCCTTTCTTCCTAAATATAGTATAATCTTACTTGTATCCAAGTCTGCTGCTGCCGCCACTGCCCCTGATCTGCCCGCTTGGCTGACATCATCAAAAGTGATTCTTAGAGCCAATCACAATGCTTTCCCATAGGATTGGCTAAGGCTGTCAAGGAGGCAGATCAGGGGCAGAGCCAGCAGAAGCCAAATACAACCCTGGCCAATCAGCAGCTTCATGCAGAGGGTGGAGACACTGATTGTCAGTCACACTGTGCAGCACTGCCCCAGGAAGCACCTCTAGTAGCCATCTGAGGAGTGGCCAGTGGAGGTATCCCTAGGCTGCAATGTAAACACTGCATTTTCTCTGAAGGGAATGATTATACTCACCAGAACAAATACAATAAGCTGTAGTTGCTCTGTTGACTGTAGTGTCCCTTTAAGCCAATTTTCACTTGAGGCCGTGGAGCAGTTGAGGAATCTGGGTCACTGACCCACTGATGTTCCAAATAGTATTGAGCCCATGCATCCGTCTCGTTCAGTGACTAATAAGAGTATGTCACCATGCCACAAAACAAGTATGTCCCAAAGCAAACTTTATCCTAATCTAAACCAACGTTAGCTCATTTCTCATAATCTACTTTCTTCTAGTTTAAGAAGCAGAAATAGTATCTGCATTCTCTTACCCAGTTTGTGTCTTGTGCTATGATTTCATTTTGATATACTGATCTTCCCTCTAAACTTTAACATATCGATGTAATATAAATAAAGCACGTAAACTGCAGTCTCGCAAACGTACAGGGAATTCTTTATTTGTTCTTTATAAAATAATACACAGCTGTAGGGTGAGCTCATGTATTTGTCCAGGGTCAATCAGCAGCAATATATCTTAATTTCTCTATTATTTATTTTTTGCTCATGTATAACCTGTTATGAACTCTCCATTTTTGTATATTTAGAGCATATTCAGATATTCTGCATATACAGTTTTAAATATATTTTGACAACCACAGCGGCAATTTTGGGCATTAGAGGGATGTGGCCCTGGGTACCCCAGCCATCCTACTGGAGTTTGTGTTCACTTATATTCTGGGCCTTAATAAAAGGAGACAGGGCACAGTGCTGCGCCCCCCCCCCCTGCATCTTCCAGAGCTCAATATCTCAGAGTACCAAGGGCTGACTTTAACTCCGGGCCAGGTAACAAGTGGGGGCATAACTATCACACAACAGTTCCCTGAAGAGGGAAGGCAGGGGAAGGTGTGCCCATGAATGACGCAAAGTAGTGAGTGGTGTAGGAATCAAGGAGGAAGATTAGAGCATAGTAGAGAAGAGTAACTACAATGAATCGTCTCATCTCCCAATGTCTGTGAAGCACACATGCCACACCATTCACCGGAGATAGAGTAACTATATAGTTACATAGGTTAAAAAGGTTCACACATCTGTTCAAACAAAAACACCCAAAAAAATAATTTAAAGCAATTGCCAATTTTGGCACAAAAAGAAAAAAAACATTCCTTCTTGACTCTAAAATGTTCATACTCAGACTTGCCATTGGACCAACAAGTTGTTCCCAAGACTTATAAGTATTATACATGGAATGTTTTATAAAAAACATAAACAATTCATACCTTTCATAGATACATATCTAATAAAACAACTCCCTGTTGTACAGAATTCCACCTTTTTATTGTTCTTTCTGTGAAGAAACATTTCTTCCACTGCAGGATAAATCACCTTTCATCAAATATGAGAGGTTGATCTCTTGTCCTGTGTACAGTTCTTTTTATAAGCAGGCTACCTGTAAAATGCAGTGGTATATTTCCTTATGTATCATATATTTGTTTACTATTATAGAATGTCTTTTAAGGAGGGATGTTCACGAACGCATAGTTCTGAGCTTTAGAGTAATATTTGTACTTATTTGTATTGCATGTTATACATTAACAGACTTACAACCCTATTTTGAGCTCCTGATCAATTTGTGGGTCTTTGTATAGTGAGTAGGCGGTGTATCATGTAGAAAATGAACTGTATAAGGTGCGCTGTGCCTTAAATCTAGGCGTGATCTTTAGAAAAACACTTGTATTAATAAAGTTCAAATGCAATCACCTCAATTCTTTGTGTTTAAAAACTTACATAAACAATGGTTTCCATAATACTGCACATGCAAAAAGAAAAAAAAAAACATATATTGTGTAAAACTAAAAAAAAATAGGAATATTTCAGTGTATGATGTGTCTTCTTTTAATTGGGTTTTATTCTATAATTTACACAATGTTGCTATGGAATGTAGAAAGATGATTGTATGGCAATTTATTACCATGTCAATAAAATAAACAAATAGAGCACAACTTCCTTCTTAATTATACCACTATATATCAAAACAACCCTGGAGTTCTGCTTCAAAATGACACAGGAAATTACAGCTACATTTTGTGGGTCTGTCCTGACCTGGAAGATGCCAAAGAATAACAGCAACTGTTAATTGACAGGATGCTTAGCTGTTACTTGTGGCCTCGACCTTGAACTGTTAAGCTGTGTCAGATCATCACACACACCAAATCTAGCAAATATTCTAATTAAACTAGATACCTAATAACTATAGTTTGGGGAGTTGATTACTGCTGCTAAAAGCTTACTATATTATAATCAGCACATTCCCAATGAAGACGTAAGTTATTTTCGAGTGGGAGAATTAAGAACAGCTTTTTCTTAGATAAGTTACAATTTAATAATTGGTTAAATGTAAGATTTGGTGCGTTAAAGGTGTTGATTTTCAGATTACGCTAGAAATGACTGTATCCATTGATATATGAAATACTAGCCCATACCGTGCGCGTTAAATAAACTGCAAATCATCAGGGAGTTTCTGAACCGCGGAATGCAAGATGGTTAGCAAAATCCTTAACACACATACTATGAATATCATGTTCTGACAAAATATACACAAACGAGTGCTTATATCTTTATAACAGAGCGAGGCTTTGGCTTAAAGGCACACTCCACTGCCCAAATACAAAATAAATAAAAATCACTTTTTAGTGGATATACTCAAAAGAAAACTTGCATGCATCTAGTTGTGGATTTTTTGTTAATTGTGGATATATCTAAAAACAGCTTACAAAAACTGCAGATCTCTTGTCTGCAACCTTCGCAATCCCCCCCTTCAAACCCCGCCCAGACTTGCTGTGGCTGTCCAATCACAGACTTCCCAATGCTGCTCAATGACAAGTCTTTGCAAGGCAGGTGCTCTGGGCTATTGCTGTCCCTTGAGTTCAGTGCAACTGCGCTAACCAGACCAGGAAGTAACAGGACCTTTTGTCTGCTTGAAATGTCAGGGGTGTAACCAGTATAATTTAGAAAAGTGTAAATTTCTTTTGAAATCTGTACTATTTCCAAAATGAAAACAAGAGGACACACTCTTCACACATAAAGCTTTTCAGCAAGCTAAAGTGCTTTAGGCATTTGGAGTGTCCCTTTAACCCCTTAAGGACACATGACATGTGTGACATGTCATGATTCCCTTTTATTCCAGAAGTTTGGTCCTTAAGGGGTTAATAAGCAATCTTCTCAATACAGAAACGCATAGATTGGTGGAGCTTATAATAGACTTTTGGAGCTTACCAGTGTACGTCAGTTTTGTAAATTGTTTATGATATTTTACATAAAGGAATTTGTTGACATACTCAACAAGCAGTGGTGGATACATTGAGAGGATCACCTACATTTTTAGTTATACATTGGAGTTATACGTTGATTGATTGTCCCATTGGCACCCACTGGACGGAGGCTGCCATTAATACACACTTGTGCCGTCTCAGAGATATTGCAAGTTTTTTGATTAAACACAGGTACCTTTCCAAATAACTCAATACTGGTAGAAAGACTTTGCAAATTATATAAATGCAGAAAGATAAGTCCTGCGCACACTCCCATCACTGGACTGCAGCAATGGCTACAGTACACATCAGCCCCAATATATAGTAAATACCAAAGAAAAGTAAGTTACCTGCGCTCTCTCCTTAATCCCTATGTATTTTTTTAAAGGACCACTATAGTGCCAGGGAAACATACTCGTTTTCCTGGCACTATAGTGCCCTGAGGGTGCCCCCACCTTCAGGGTCCCCCTCCCGCCCGGCTCTGGAAAGGGGAAAGGGGTTTAAACTTACCTTTTTCCAGCGCTGGACAGAGAGCTCTCCTCCTCCGATCCTCCTCCGTTCCTCCTCCTGGGCTGAATGCGCACGCGCGGCAAGAGCTGCGCGCGCATTCAGCCGGTCGCATAGGAAAGCATTTACAATGCTTTCCTATGGACGCTGGCGTGCTCTCACTGTGAAAAATCACAGTGAGAAGCACGCAAGCGCCTCTAGTGGCTGTCAATGAGACAGCCACTAGAGGATTAGGGGAAGGCTTAACCCATTGATAAACATAGCAGTTTCTCTGAAACTGCTATGTTTATAAAAAAATGGGTTAACCCTAGAAGGACCTGGCACCCAGACCACTTCATTAAGCTGAAGTGGTCTGGGTGCCTAGAGTGGTCCTTTAACAAATGGAGGTATTTTAGTTACCTCCAATGGCCATGAGAGGATAAACCCACCTGCCAACATCAAGGCAGACCGCCCCAGGTGGGTCCTAACTCTAACCATTCACCTTACTTCTTTGAGCTTCTGGCAAAAATCTCTAATGAGACAGAAAGGGTTATTTTTTTTTTATATACACCCCTATATATATAAATTATATGTCTACAAAAACTCCCATGGACTTTAACAATGAGTACTGTAAATTAATAATTTGGAATGTTTTACTAACGCTATCAAGTGATTCCTCTTCTGCAACTGTCATTAGTCTAATACTATCCTTACCTTTTTGTGTCATTTTACCCCACTCCCTCTAGCATGTAAGCTCATTGAGCAGGGCCCTCAACCCCTCTGTTCCTGTGTGTCCAACTTGTCTGGTTACAATTACTTGTCTGTTCGTCCACCCATTGTAAAGCGCTGCAGAATTTGACGGCGCTCTGTAAATATCATAATAATAATAATAATAATTTAAAAAGCTTATCAAATCAAAGCCTTTGATTGATTGCAGTGCGCACAAAACCTATGAAACTATAATTTTCTTCTAGATCGAAAGGATAAGAGAAATAGTGTTTGGACACTGCAATCAAAAATGTTAAATATATATATTAAACAGTTCTAGTCTGTTAACAGTTCATTAAACCTTTTTTAATTGTATAATTTTATTTTTTTACTTATAATATTGCATATAAGTGTCCATCATGTCCTTCCTTATACTGTAATGTTGCACCCCCATATGACGTTCATATGGAGGGGTAGGGCAGATGGGTAGCCTGACTGTCACCAATCCCTATGCATAATATAAAATAATTCTATTTTATAGTGGTTCTCTCACAGGGGCGTCTGAATAACTTGCACAGACCCCCGACTGTGACATCACCACTGGGGGTCCAATGACCTGGGGGTGCAGAGGAAGGTGAGTTATACTTACCTGAACCTGTACCATGCGTCTTTATAAGCTTTGACAATGCTTAACTCCACCTTTTTTGTCAATCTTACAATAATTTTATCTATTCATCTTGCAGTTATTTTTAAATATTAAATGGTTACCCAAATCCGGGTAGTCCGCATTAAACAGAAAATAACTTCCTAGACTTGTGTTTGGAGAGAACATTTGTTAAATAAAATCTAACACTATCATTCTACCATTAAACTAAAAAAGATTTTTAATTTTTTTAAAAATATATTTTAATATTTTCAGTTATAGAGACATTTAAAGAAGTGATTCACAGAAATCGGTTAAAGTGTACTCATTTAGCAAAGAACAAATATTCCTGACACATGCATCACGTGAATCCTTCACACATACATCATCAGTGATAACTGGAAAAACAGAGCAAGGGGGGTCTGCCAGGAAATTTCACATGTGTCTCTGTGATTGCGACTGATGACACATTCAACAAAGTGGAGTTTATTCGCTAAACGCTGAATTTTAGTGTACTGAAACCCCGTAATAATCCAACTAAAAGCACACAAAAAATTTGGCCTAAATTTTGAAATTCACCTTGAAATACCGGCAATTGTCACTTTAGTGAATGGTCCGTTATTCTCTTAAATGTTGTGATTAGAGCCCGTGCCAATAGTAGCCACTGGTGTGTTTATTTCTCTCTCAGATCTAGAATGGATCACAAATATGAAAGTATCAGTTATAATTTAAAATTGTTTTTTGGGGGTTATCATTAGAGCACAATTATTTTGTGTGATTTTTGTGCCCCAATAAGTGATCAGTGATTTCCTGTGATACATATTCTATTTGGCAAACTTTTAAAGGTGTCACACATCACAGCCTGGAGAGGTGAAATAAAAGAGCTGGAATCAATGTTTGCTAAAGAGTTGGAGCTGACAGAAATGGATCAAGCGATAGCAATACAATAAAGCCTTAAGGTGTAGACTTGATCTCACAAACAAAAATTTCCAGTAAGTGTTAGACGATCTTTGTCACTTACAACCCAGAGGCAATATTGATTGGAACATGTCAGTCATTTTGTAGGATTTTGTTAAGTGCTGGGAATCTTTTTTTCCCCAAGTTGAGGCCCAAAAAAATTCTTGAAACTACAGCTATACAAGACATTACACTGCTTATAAATCTAAACATTAAATGATACTC